CACTCTCAGAACTCTCAGCACTCCCAGCACTCAACACCCAGCCGCAGTTTCAGCTTCTAACTTCCAGTTATCCCAACGCAGCCGATCTCGTGTCTAGGCCACATCAGCGTCAAGGTCCTGACGGCCTTTCAGCATTACGCAAGTAATTTCAAAAGTGTTTGCCATTATTTTATTATTTCCGTCTTACGAGCTTGCGTCGCACATAAAAATATTTAAGTTCTTATATTTCCTATGTTGACCTAATTCGTCATCAATTTATAGGTTAATTGCCTGGAATAAATTCTTTTCTAAGCCAAGTTAAATTGTTTTCCTATTTACGAAATAATCGATGATTGAGAAGAGCTTGATCTATATATATCTGAAATCGATTTTGTATATCCTGCTTGCATTAAGTCTTGAACAAAACTAAGACATCATCTAATTATTTAAGATATATGTATATAAGTTTAACTGTTGGCTCTGCATATCTCAGCTTTGGTATGCCAAGCATTTTCATTTGAAAGTTTTCGCATTACATTTGCCTTTGTGGCTCTTCTTTTTGTTTCTGCTGTCATATCTTGGCGCTGAATAATTGTGGCCCGAGAAGTTTGGAGCCATGTGCCCTAGAAGTTTATGACGGTACTTATCTAGCCATACTCACCGACAGTAGATGCCAATCATGACCACACAGGGAAAGTAGAAGCTGATACAGCTGGAGACGACAGCGTACGTGGGTGTCAGGTCCAGTGCGCATGTGGGATACTTCTTGCCATTATCCATGAAAATCAGCGGCTGGTCGGGTCGATGGATCCCCAGCGAGATGGGCACAAACGAGACGAATGCGGCCAGCAGCCAAATAGCTGCAATGGTTATAACAGCCACCCGGCGTGTCACCCAGCGGCCGTATCTGTAATGAAAGTCACAGAAGGGAAAGAGGACCACATCAATTTTGAGCAAAGGAAGTGCTTGTGATTGTCCCTTGCGGTTGCCAGCAGTAAAATGGTTAAGCAACGGCAGCAGCAGCTGTCCAGGGCGACAGCAGCAACAGTCAGAAAAAGAAAAGAGTCGCACATTATGATTGCGGCTTTGCGTGCCGAGAGCGAGCGGCGACAACTGTTGCGGTGCAGTGCGGCGCCGAAATTCAGCCGGCCAAAAGGTGCGCATGGAACAGTCGTGTAATGGCCACTGCGGTTCGCCTGCATGTCATTAATTACCCGAACAGCGCAGGCGGTGCCAAATCAGCCTGAGCCAAAAGCCCAACCGCAGCACAAACCATTGAACACTACGCATTCTCCAGGGGCTGTGCAGGGATATGTATGTATATGCATGTGTATGTATGTAGGCCTAGCTCTGCTCTGTGTACATATGCAAATCATCGTGTATGGATTTTTGTAGCACTTCGATTTTGACAACGGTCGCACAATTTGCATTTACAGCAACGGAAATGAGCAGGCAGAAGCGCAGAAACCTGATGGCATTTTATGGCCCACTGTGTGTGTGCTCGTGTGTGTTTCCTTGTGTGTGTGTGTGTACACATTGGCATATGCTGCCGCATTTTGGCTTGTGCGAATGTAACCGCTGGCTGTGCGGCAGACATGGGCAGGAAATCAAACAAAATAATTCAATTTCAATTCAAAGACGCACTCAGTCAACGTGCAGACCGAAAATACTAAAGATGACAGAGGCGCCCGCAGCCGGTGGGCGGGGTAGGTCGCAAGGACAACAAAGCGGAAAAGGAAGTTTTGGTAATTGTATTCACAAACAAATTCGATTTCATGTGCCACCAAAATTGATTTCTATTCGAATTTCGAGCAGCGACGACATCAGCCCGCACCGGTAGCCATTTAGTTGCCACCCCGTACGTGGCCCATAGGCCCATTGAAGCCCATTGGAGCACAGGAACTGGCACAGACACGGAAAGTAAGTGCAAATACCTGACAGCCGTTTCACTCCAGACAGCTGCCCATGTCTATGCCAAGTGGGGCTAGACGCGTCCACTGGATGGAGCAACCAATCATACCCCAAAGAGCTAATTGAAATCGTGTGACTCTGTGTCAGTCAGTGTGTGTGTGTGTGTGTGTCTCAGTTCCAGACGAAAGTCCGCCCGCATTTGCATTTAATGTTGCCCCTATGTGCGTGTGTGTGTGAGTATGTGGCACGCACTCAAGAAATTAGAGACAAGCACGCACACTGCTAGCTGTGTGTGTGTGGGTGTGTGTGAGTGGGTTGAGGCTGCATAGCTCGGCTAACTCTGACGTTTATTTTGTTTGCCTCTTGTCATATGCGGTTTTATGAGCGTTTCGCACAGTGAGTGCTTAAATGTTGCAAGCACACGATGTTGCTATTGTTGCTGTTGCTGTTGCTGTTATTGCTATTGTTGCTTTCAAGTGTTGCGGGCATAGTGGAGAGAGAGAGAGAGAGGGAGAGGGCTTATTCAACCCAGGCCCAGCCAGGCCAAAACACAATTACAAACATTCCCAAAGCGACATTCTCGTTCGCTTTTGTCGCTTAACTGTTATACCGCTCGCTCACGCATGCATATAACACCTATTTGCCCCATCCCCAACCCATCTCGCTCTGCATTCCCCCCTCGCCCTACCCCGAATGCGGATGACATAAAAAGTTTGCGTCGCTTTTTATTGCAGTTTAAAGTGAATTTTATGCATGATACGAGTGTGCACACATATGTTTGCTCTGGCCCTGACAGTTACGACGATGACAGGCGCCACCAGATTCAGCTTTAGCGCATAAAAAAAAACCAACAGAATACACAAAAACAAAAAAGAGAAATGTTCCTTAAATCTGGCATAATTTTAACTTTGTCAGCGGCTGCTTCTAATTAGATTTCCACGCGCTTTTCCTTCAAATTATTATTTTTTTTCTTCGCCAATTTTCGCTGGCAGTGCACAAATCTGGGCAGGCGCAATTAAATTAAACGCTTGCAATTATTCTAAGACGCTGCGAAAATACGACAAATTTCTCAGCGCCAGAGGTGGGCATCCTAATGAGACGCCCAGCCCCAAACAGTGCGCGAACTTTGACACGTCGCGCCACGCCAAGAAAAACTGAGGAACACAAATGCTGTCCCTACTTTGACATGCAAATAAATCAGATTTGCATAAAGAGCAGCCCAAGCCAAGTGCCAAGCCTGCTGCCAAGGTTCTTCGGGACCGGCACTAATACCGCTAGACAGGCAGCATTCAGAGCCAGACACAGACGCACCCTCATTCGTCAGCTATATTGTCTCTATTTTACTTTAGACGAAGATCAAATACACTTCAT